CTTATTGAGGCTTTTTGTTAGGTTGTCTGACAGTCAAGGGAATGTTAAAGAAAAGCTGCTTCGGAGGAAGGCACAAGATCATTGTGGAGGAGAGATCCTTGTGCAGAAGCAGGGGAGAGAGGAAAGGCAGGAGGAGGCCAGGGGAGGGAGAAGAACAGGCACGGCTATGGGCAGGAGGAAGGAGCATCATTTCTCTGCCTCTGTCAGGTTGTAGTGGGACCTGGGGTCCAACGTCCGTCTCTGAAACAAGGACCAATCACGCACAGAAAAGAGGGGGTCTCTTAATAACCCACTGGGGGTGGCAGCCCAGAGAGGCCAGTGCTGCACATTCCCATGGCCCCTTTGCTTGGATTTCTCTTCACCACTAGTTCTGTGCCTGCCTGCAAACATAGTACCATGAAGTAGTATCTCCTGCACACAGCAGGCTTATAGGAGGCACTAGGAGGGGGGTGACCCCCTGGTGCTCCCCTGAGACAGGCGTCCAGTGAGGTTCTGACAGTCGACCACCTGAGCAAGCAGAACAGGGACCCAAGGGCCACCTTGGCAGGTCTCCCAGGAGAGAAGCCTGGACTCTCGCAGTGTCTGGGGTGGAAAAGTACAGTTTGGGTTGTAAGGCAGGAATTGAACAGGATTTGAAATGATGAACAGCAGAACAGACGATTTGTTGTTGAAGATGCTCCCGTGATCCTCACTACCTCCCCCACTCTATACCAGCCCCTGCTGTCAGGATCTAGCAGATCCTACCATGAGGAAGCTCTTTTTGTCTCCCCTAAAGTCCCTGTTTCTTAGTGGGCTCCCTCCTAGGCCTTCAGGGGAATCAGAGCACAGCTAAACCTCTAGGGTCTCAAGTCCAGATCTGTAAGAGGCCAGGCTCCATATGGGAGGAAGGAGCTCAGCTCAGTCCTAAGCCCTAAAGGTAAGGGATGAGATGGCAAGATCTTGTAGAATTTGCTTCCCAGTCAAGTGGCTGACTCAATGGAATTCACAAATATTTACTTAATTCAAAAAATGGTTATGGTGGGGAGCCTGGGTGGCTCAGTCAGTTAAGCGTCTGACTCTTGGTTTCAGCTCAGGTCATGATCTCATGGTTTATGAGTTCGAGCCCTGCATCGGGCTCTGCACTGACAGTGCAGAGCCTGCTTGGGATTCTCTCTCTGTCCCTCTCTCTCTGCCCCTCCCCTGCTCTCTCTCTCTCTCTCTCTCTCAAGAATAAATAAAATTTTTAAAAACTTAAAAAAATGTTTATGGACGGGCGCCTGGGTGGCTCAGTTGGTTAAGCTTCCTACTTTGGCTCAGGTCATGATCTTGTGGTTCTATAATTTGAGCCCCACATTGGGCTCTGTGCTGACAGCTTGGAGCCTGGAGCCTGCTTCGGATTCTGTGTCTCCCTCTTTCTCTGCCCCTCCCCTGCTTGTGTTCTCTCTCTCTCTCTCTCTCAAAAATAAAACATTAAAAAAATTTTTTTAATGTTTATGGAGCCCCACAGTATGTTAAGTATTATACTAGGTGCAAGGATCAGAACTCACTCCCTCTTCCCTACTTTTAGCCCCCATGCTAATAAGGTGAGGCAGGCAATAAATGGGAATAAAATAAATCTGTTGCTGAGAAACTAAAAGTGATGAAATAGAGAGTGGAGGGTGAAGGAGTGGTCTGCTCTGTCTGGAGAGGTCAGAGAAAGCCTCTCTAGGAGGCAATGTTTGGGCTGAGATCCAATGATGAGAAGGAGCCAGCCATGTAAAGTTCTAGGGGAAGAGCATTCCAGGAAGGAAGCACAGCTTTGATGCACAGCCATTTAAGGGAGAAGATGATTCAGGTTGAAATCAGAGAGAATGGCAGGGCAGGCTCCTGTGGGGCTTTGAGGCCATATTACAGAGGAGTTTAGATTTTGTTCCAAAACCAGTGGAAAGGCACTGGAAGATTTTAAGCAAGGGAGTGACATGACTTGATCTTCAGAAAGATCATTGCTATGGCTATTGGGGAACGGAGGGCAGAGAGGCAGGGAGACTGCTTAGGGATATAGCACATTAATCCAAGTGAGGGATGTTGGTCTGGCCCAGGGTGGTAGCAGCAGAGGGTGGAGTAGACAGACTTACAGTGTTTTGGAATAAGGGCTGCCGAACTTGGATGGAAGAAGGGAACATGAGAACGATTAAGTGGAATATGCCCCAAACGGAAAAGTCTCAAGGAAGGTCACATTTGGGGGAGGAAAAGCCAGAGTTCAGTTGTGAACATGTGAAGTTTGAAATGCTTCTTGGTGACCCAAGTGGAGATGTAGGCAGTTGGAATGTCCTCAATTCTGCAAAGGACACCCAGATGCAAAGGACCTGGAGCTCACCTTAGAAGAGCTTCTGGTCCAGTTGTGAGATGGAACCTAGGGGAGAGACAATCTGCTTGGTTCCCCACTCCTCCCATTTCTAGCCAAGATCCTCAAAAACCTGTTTCATTAGGGAAAAACTAATTCCCACCCTCTCAAGCCTCTCTGTGTTAGAATCACAGAATTTCTTCTGGCTCTGGAATGTCATGATTCCATGAGAATTGGCTCTGAGCAGGCAGGTAGAAGGGCAGGGTCTTCCTCTAGGAATCGTCTGAAATCTCTTTGACTATGGAAGCCAAGGACAAGGGTCAGTGGCCCAAAGATCTGATCATTCTAAGCATTAGTGTGACTCCTCTCTGACAATTTTTAGAAAGTTTCTTCCTTCACTCAGCTTTCTTTTGTTGGTGAAAGAAATGGTCTAAAATGAATATCATGGGTGGTCTTAAAAGGAAGAAAGGGAGAGAGAGTAAGAAGTCACCTGCAAGTTTAGAGGGAAGCATGGAAGGGAGGATAGGGTGTGGTCACCAGCGCTGGACTCTCCAGCACAAGCCTCATGTGTTGATCATGTGCTGTGTCAGTGCATCTCTCTTCTTTGTCATGACCAAAAAGTGGGTGTGCCCGCGCCCTTCCCACCCCTCCTCTTAGTCATCAGACCTTGCAGCCCAAAGAAGTGCACAAAGAACTCAAATGTTCCCATATCATAGAACCTGTTCCAGAAGGCTAGCCAAAGTTCCAGCCACAGAAGTACCATGAGACTCCAAAGAAGGGGAGGGGCTTCTCGGGGCCTTGGTTTCATCATCTGTAAATTCATGTATCTAGAATTGCATTGTCCAGTATGGTGGCCATCAGCCACATGTAGCTATTTAAATTTAATTAAAATTAAATTAAAAATCTAAAATTCAGACCCTCAGTCATACCAGCCACATTTCAAGGGCTCAATAGCCACATGTGTCTAGTGGCTACTGTATGAAACAGTGCAGGTCTAGAACAGAAAGTTCGATCAGATAGCATTGCTTTACAACAGTGGTTCCCAAAATATGGTCTCTGGGCCAGTAGCATCAACATCATCTAGAAACACTTTAGAATTGCAAATTCTCAGGCCTCACCCCAGACATACTAAATGAGAGACTCTAGGGACAGGGGAAAACCTTCCAGATGATTCTAATGCATGCCAAAGTTTGAGAACCAAGGCTCTAGTGTAAAATAATATTCTCCTCCATTATCTGTTTGAGCCTCAACAATCTTATACTCATTCTGCCTTCCTAGGGTGAGTATAATCATGGCTCATTTTGTAACTGAAGAAACAAATCCAAAGATCACAGCCTTGGCAAACCCAGGGCCAGAACTCTGGCCCCTTGACCCTTCCTTGTCTCATTTTTTTTTTTTTTTCATAATATTTGTCTAGGATCATTCCATATTGAAAAAACAAAAAAATACAATTCTGTATCTCTGTGCCATTCTAGAACTCCAGCCCATTTAGAAGAGCCTGTTGCTGAGTTTTGGCAAGTCAGAATGGTCACAATGGAAGATCTCTCCAATGAGTGGTCATTGGGGTGCCTAGAATGTCTCATGAATATAGTATAACAGTCAGGAGCTCAGATCCACGCCCACTGTGCTGATGAGGGGACCGCAGCCCCAGGTGGGAGAGTGCTTGACTAGAGAACAAACAGTTAAGAGCCTTAGGAACAGACCCAGCTGAGTCCCGGTTCTGCCTTTAGGGGCTGGGTGACTTAGGCAAGCACATCACCTCTGCAAGCCTCCATTTCCTCAGCTGTGAAGTCCGAATAAGAATAGAACTGGTCCGCTGTGTGGATGAAATAAGCTCATGGATGTGAAGGTGACTGGCACTCAAAATTTTCAATATTATTATACCAGACAGTAGGAAGTCAACCTAGTTTTTTTATTCCTTTTCTTTTCAATATAACCTGCCTTTTTGTTATGTTCTCTGACCTCAGATTTCTCTTAGCATGTGAGCTCCAGCTCGCATCCTCTGAGCCTATTTGGGAACCAAAGAGGCACAGGTGGCCATTGGATGTGGCATCATCAAGAGTAGCTTTTGCCAGTTGGTAGCATCTCTAGTTTTCTGGAACCTACTTGGGTAAACCTGATCGTACCTTTCAGCAAGGAAAGAGACTTCTTACAAAGTGGGGGAGACCCTGAGCAGGAATGGGGTACAAGACAGGCTGTTATGTCAGGCTTGAAATCTAGAAAGCTCCATGAAGGGCGCTGAATTCCAGTCTCAGCCTACCACTTCTGGTCCGATGACCTTGAACAAATGGCTCAGTCTCTCTGCCTATTTTTCCATCTGTGGGAAAAGGGAGAATGATGTGCCTAGTGCACCTGCCTCAATTTTCCCAAGATCAGATGAGAGTGCTGTCCTCATTGTTCTGTAGAACCTGGGACTCATCTTTCTCTTGAGCATTTTCTGGTGTTGCCTGCTGTGGAGAGACAGAAGCCACCAGCCGGTCTGCTTTTCTCCCCACTCCCACTCCACAGGAGCCTCAGCTCTCGAGCACACTGCCATCTGACTCAGCTCGATGCTACCTCTCCCCTCAGTTCCTGCTGATGCACCTCCTCTCTCTGACTTGGATCTATTTTTTTCTCTCACTGTCTCTTCCCTCCCACCAACCCCCTCCCCAAAAAACACGCCCATGGTCTTGCCCTCCCTCTTCCCACTTCCTTGTAGCGGTGGGAGTCCAAATGAGGCTGGAGTTCCTACAACGCACGTTCTGGGCAGCGACCCGGCAGGTGGGTGTGAAGGTGCCAGGTCAGGGCCAGAGGATTGGCCGACACCTTGGGATGAGGAGGGCCCGCTCCCTCGGGCAGCCCCCACCGCCTCTTGGCCCACCTCCTGGGCCCTCAGTCCGCTGTCCCAGATCCCTTCCTTCTCTGCCTGGCTCAGTTCCCTGCACCTCAGCATGTGGACTCCTGACCTTCCTCACCAGGGGCTCTGTCTCAGCTCAGACCCAGAGAAAGGGCAGGACACAATGCTCCCACCTGCCCTGCCCCATCAGGCAGAGGAGAGAGCACCCCTCATCCCTCCAGCCAAGACCCAGGCTTTGACTGCTGTCCATCCTGTGCTTCCCACTCCACCCCATCCTTCCCCACCTCTGCTCTTCCTCCCCGGAGCCTGGAGCCCTCGCACTGGGCTCTTCCCCACTTCCTGGGTCTCCTCACTGTCTTCCTCAAGCTCCTCTGGCCAGAATCTTCCCCTCTGTGCCATGGCCCCCCCATCTGTGTGTTGCTGCATCCTCCCTTTGAGTGGGTTTAGGAAACCACAGAATGAAGATGGAAGGGATGGGAGGGGAAGGGGCACCAGCCCCATAACCTAGTAGCACCCTTCACATCAGGTGGGATCACAAAGAACAGGAGCCTCTGAAACCACCCCATGAGGCTTCCAGTGCCCCCCTCACACATGGGCTGCAGTGGCCATGGCCCCTCAGACAAGGCTGAACCCGCCAGCAAGGGCCTGCTTCTCCTTGCCCTGACCCCACTAACACAGCTTCACACGTGCATCACACCACACATATACACCACACGTGCACACATGCACACTGCACACAGACGCCCTACACATACAACACACACACGGCATACATACCACATATACCATACACACACACCAAACACATACAGTATAAACCCCACATCAGTATACGAATATAACACACACACAACACCATACAGATGCACATACACAGGCATACACAGTTTACAATTTCTCCTCTTCCTTCCAGTGCGGCACTGTGGAGGGGCCATGCCCAGAGAGCTGCCAGGACAGTGTAAGTTCTTCCACGGACCCCCCAACCACATCCTTCCCTGAAGTGCTGGGCCACACTGCGTGCCTCTACACTGGACACGCAGGCCTGCCTTCCTGAATGCCGGGACGGGCACGTTACCCAGGGGTCATGGCCCAGCCATGACCTCCTCCTGGGTTTCTCCCCAGCTCCTGGACTGCTTCGTCATCGACAACAACGGGTTCATCCTGATCTCAGAGAGGTCCCAGGAGGTAAGGCATTGGGAAGTAGAATTAGGGGGCAATCAAGTCATCTGGCAGCCAGGACAGCCAGGGGAAGGAAGTAATCCTGGCTTAGAGCAGATGAGAGTAAATGGTCTGAAGAAAACAGAGTCTCTTCTTGAAACCAAGTCCATATAGCAAGATCACAAAATTCAGACACTGTTCCACTTGGGTGGTCAGAGAAAATGTTACTTCTTATTTTGTCTGTACCTCATCTGGCCTCATCCCATGGTTGGTAGAGAATCTGCCCACATGATGAGGAGAGGCAAGACCAAACTCCACCTCAGGGTAGCGTGTGTCCTGTGCCGAGGCCGTGCCGCTGACTCCCAGAGTCCACACACCCTTGTACTGCCCATCGCCCCACTGCCCTCCATCACGTCCCCTCCCCGCTTAGTCCATTCAGGCCACTGCAACATGAACAGACTGTGTGGCTCATCCACAGCTGGAATTTATTTCTCAGGGTTCTTGAGGCCAGATGTCAGAAGCCAGGGTGCCCATGTGTTCAGGTGAGGGCCCTCTTCCAGGGCACAGATTTCTTATGGTATCCTCACATGGCACAAAGGGCAAGGGAGCTCTAGGGGTCTCTTTGATAAAGGCACTGATCCCATTCCTATTCTACCCAGATCACATTTGCTCACAAGTTGGTACAACTTTGCATATTTGTAAAAACAGAGACATATTTTATAAAGTATGTGTTTATTTAGCTTATTTACCCCTATTTTCTCAACTATTATAACATTGTATGTACTTTTAAAAGCCATCCCAAATCCTTTATAGAATGAAGCAGGGTGTAAATGAAATGAAATTTAATCTCATAATAGGGTTGGGACCATCCAGAAGCTCCTCCAGAGCGCAAGCCCCCAGTGTGCTTGGTTACCCCGGCCTCTGACACTCCGGTGCTTCCACTGCCTCCCTTCCCCCACTTCAGGGCCCCACACCACCGCCACCATCATCTCCGGTAGTGGTATTAGTCTCATTTTGTCCTGGAGTTAAAACTGAGGCTGCAAGGTGAGGTTAGCAACCTGAAAACCAACAGCTGCAGAAAAGTCAGACTTTGAGCCTAGAAATACGAGTGAAGGGCAGTGACAGTGACCAGGGAGATAAGGCCTTCTCTGGGGGGCGTGGCAGACTGCAAGCCCCAGCCTCCGGGGTGGTCCTCCTGTGCCTGGGCACCCACCCCAGGCTGCTCTGTTACTGCTTGGGGCAGAGTTCATTCACTTTGCTGCGCTTGGCTGAGTCTGATGGAATTAGGACCGATGCCTCTAGGACGCTGAATGCCAAGGCCAGGCATCCCAACCCCCAGATTAAACTCCAAGGCTGGTGCCAGGGCTCTGGGAGCAGTGTCTTGACAGAGCTCCTCTTTCCTCACTCTGGACAACTCTCACCCTGTGACCGGAGCTGTGTCAGGTTAGGAGAGGGCCGGAAGGGAGTCACCAATGGTATAGCAGCGCCAGGCACAACACACACACCACACACACCAGGCACAACACACACTTAGTTACTACATGGAGAATCAAACTGGCCTAAAGGTAAGAGAGGCCTGGAAGAAGCAGGGACTGGACTGGAAGGTGAGTGGAAACACAGTGGTGGAAAGCGGGTGCTGATGCTGTAGATCAGCTGTCTATCCATCCATTTTTGCTTTTTGTTTTAACTCCTCCATTCAACAACTCTGTAACAGTTATCTGTTGCATGTAACAATTTACCCCAACATGTAGTGGCTTAAAGCCACCTGACTTACTGTCCCACAGTTCTTGGGCGTGGCTTAGCTAGCTGATTCTGGCTCAGGGTCTGTCATACAGCTGAAAGGAAGGTGTCAGCCAGGGCTGTGTACTCATGTCAAGGCTTGGCTAGAGGACGGTCAGCTTCCAAGTTCACTCACATGGTCAGTTACCACCACATGGGCCTCTCCACAGGACAGCTCACAACATGGCAACTTGGTTCATCAGAGTGAGCAAGCCAAGAAAAGCCAGAGACAGAGAGAGTGAGAACAAGGTGGAAGTCACTGTCTCCTGGAACCTAGTTTCAGATGCGACATCCCATCACTTTTACTATATTTTATTCACTAGAAGCAAGTTACTACATCCAACCTACCAAGGAACCATTACAGAAGTGTTCTACCATAAACCCCTTCCCCTTCCCCTTCCCCAAACACACCCAAGTGCTGTCAAGGACCACATGGTCTGGCCCCTCCTCCAACTCATTCATTTCCCCCCCTTTTACTCCTAAGCCTCCAAGTGTTGGGGGGCAGGGGTACTGGAAGCAGCGGCAACAGAAATACAAGTTAACAGAAATACAAGTTCTCGGGCCCTACCCAGACTAAGGGAATCAGAAAGTCTGGGGTGGGGCCCACCAACTGCGATGTGACAAGGCCTCTGATGATTCTGATGTGTGATAAAGTCTGAGAGCCACTTCCTAGGCCTTAATGCCAGCTGCTGTTGATCTGGATGCACTTTCCCAACTGGGCTAATGTGCCAGAAGGTCCAGACTACTCCTTGTCCCTGCTGAGGTCCATCCAGGGACCGGAGGAGAGAAGACTGTCACTGCTCTGGATGCAAAGATTCTTCCCAAAGTCCCTCCCAGCCCTTCCTCACTGCGGCCCTCCTGCCCAGCAAATAATGTGAGTGCAATGCCCAAAGGCACCATCTGTGGTCTGCCTGAGGGAGGGGCAGCCTGAATCTCTCCTGGCTCTGGTGGTGTTCCAGTCCTGCTGATTAGACATTTGGTCCCACTGAGCCTCTCTTCCAGCTCAGGGCTCATTCTTTTAATAAAGAACTACAGATGACAGGATTACAGCCCTCTGTTGGGGCCTAGAAAGAGAAGCAGACAGCTGGGGCCAAGAAAGTGACAACAGCTCTATAGATCTTTGTAATGTTTACAGTGGATCTGTCACCCTGGATTTGGGGACTCCAAGTCCTGTCATTTGCCTGTGGGTAGCACCCACACAGGAGAGCTTCAAAGTGGACCTCAAAGGAACAGCAAAGGTAAAAAATCAGATGCCCCATCATGATGTCTTTCCCTGAGGACTTGAATCTCTCAGAAGGAATGCGCCCCTCTACCCCCAGCCCAAAATGCTGAGCTTGTCCTCAGACCAGGGCCTCTGATGTGCCTGTCTTGAGCCTCAGCTCCTGTTTTCCTTGGCTTCCCCTTCTCCTTCCCTGCCTTCCTACACCCCTACCAAGCAAGTGCCCCCCACTGTCTTCCAGTCATACTCCCAGTGCAGTGGGTACGGTGGACACAGTGCAGGAGAAACCTCCAGCCTCCCTGCCTGGCTCATGCTTCTGACCGTGCCGCTCCAGCCCCCATCCCTCACCACCTGCCTCAGCACATCCCAGGCTGTCCCAGGCTCTGGCAGCAGAGCCTTCCTGGGGTCAAGGCAGCCTCATTTGGGCAGCTCAGGCTGGGTGTCTCTAGAGAAAATTTCAGCTGGCCACCTGCCCCAGAGATGACCCATCACAGCAGAGGACCTCTGGGTGCCTCTCTCCAAAGTGGTGCTAATGGCCACTCCTCCACATGCTTCCCTGGTCCCACTGTGGGGCCAAAGGCACTTGTCAAGAGACTGAGAAGCTCAGAGGAAACAGGCAGGGCTGTACAGTAGTAAGGAACAAAAAGAAATTGGTCCTCATGAGGAGCCACACACAGTGACTTCACTCTGGTAACTCATTTAATCCTCACACCCCTTAATTTTTTAGAGAAGAAACTGAGGCTGTCCCTGGGTAAAAGGCTGTGAGACATTTGCCCCATTCCAGAGTCAAGGGCTCCCCCACTCACCCTCTGGCCTCCCTTCCCTCTGGGGATAGTAGCTTCACACAGGCATGCAAATTAGCCTATGCACAGGGCTGCTGCTCAGTCAGCAGGAATACTCATCAGTTCTGCCCCCTCTGCCACCACCTGCCCCATCTGCTTCCTGCTCGAGGCCCTGGGTGGTACCTCGCAGGACCCCATCTCACTCCTGCCTCATAACAGACAGGAAACACAGAAAGCCCCAGGCCCTTTGGATGCAGTCCCAGAGCTCAGGCAGTCCAAAGGACATTGCTTATCTTTGGAGTGTCCCCTGTACACAAGTGGAGCCCTGACCTGCTGTGAGCAAACCTAGATGGCATGGGGACCTGGAGCTTCCAGAGACCCTGTACTGTGCTGTGGGTGGACAGAGGCAGGAGACCCTGTGCTGTGCTGTGCTGTGCTGTGCTTTGGGTGCTATGCCACAGTCAGTCTGGGGGACCTAAACTGACAAGGGTACTCAAGTTTGAGTGTTTCAACTTGGGCTTTGCAGGGTCAGGAACTAAATCAGTTTACCTATTTGAGGCACTGATTCACTCTGATGAAGCTCAAATGAAACAATCAGCACAGAATAGTGTTCTGCTGTCAGGAATAGTGCCCCCACTACAGTGTTTTTTATGTGGGTTTTTTTTTTTTTTAACTTATTTTTGAGAGCAGAGGAGGGGCAGAGAGAGAGACAGACAGACAGAATCCGAAGCAGGTTCCAGGCTCTGAGCTGTCAGCACAGAGCCCACTTGGGGCTTGAACCCAGGAACTGCGAGATCATGAACTGAGCCAAAGTTGGCTGCTTAACTGACTAAGCTACCCAGGCGCCCCTACGGTGTTTTAAACAAATTAAAGGTTTATTCTCTCACATGAAAGAATAGAGAAAAGTAGCCCAGGCCTGGTATGGTGTGGTCACCAGGTGTCCCCATCCTCAAGATCACAACATGGCCATAGGAGTTCCTGCCTTCTTGTCCACTTTCCAGACAGGAAGAAGGGGGAGGTCAACAGCCATGAATGAGGTGCTTCAGCAGATCTCCCTTTAAACAGATTCCCAGAAGTCTCACCCAGGAACTTTGCTCACATTTCATTGGCCAGCCCCAGCTGCAGGGGAGTCTGGGAAATGTAGTGTTTTAGCGAACACATTGCTACCGTAATTCAAGTCAGGATTGCCTTACCTAAAGAAGAAGGGGAGGATGGATATGCTCTGCCAGAGTGACATATCCTAGAAAGTCACTCTGTGTATGTGTAGGTACAGAGGAGGACACATTTTTCCCAGTGTCCAGGAGCTTGTCTTCTCAGAATCAAGTGTCTGAACAACAAAGAGAGATAAAGGGACAGCCTTGTGGGAATTTGGGCCGGCAGCTTCATCAGGAGCCTCTTTTCCATCCCGTTGCACTTTCCCAGCAAGAGTACTCAGATCACTCATTCATCCCCCTGTCCATTCACTCACACATTCCTTCAGCAAATACATGCTGAATAGTGACCATGAACAAGACACTGTGTGGTCTATGAGAAGCCAGGAGGTGGATGTCTGCCCTGGAGGATCTCGCTGTCTAGTAATGCAGGAATGCACAGACACCTGGTCACTGGAACAGCAAAATTTAGCAAACCGCAGCTGACGGAGAGGGATGACTTGAACTGGAGGGACTCCAGGTGGGTTCAGGGCTGCACTGTGAGGAACAGCAGGACTGGATGCCTCTCACCTTTTCACTTGCTGTTCCTTCCCTTAAGTGCCCTCAGCCCCTCTCTGCTGTCCCCTGTGTTCTGGCCTCAGAACACAATGAGCCTCTGGCCAAAGAAAGCACAGAGCTCAGAAAAGCCTGAGTGTCTCATTGTATCCAGCTCTCTCATGGCTACTGCCTCGTGCCTTAGTCATTAGCCTCTAGGTTTCCAAGTGCAGAGGAGGGATGCCATCACTCCAGCTGGAGAGGGGAGAAAGAAAGACTTCTTAGAGGAGGACAAGTAAAGCTCCTTGGAGTGGGACTGAGGAAGGGTCATTGAGGCAGAGAGAAGAGCCAAGGCCTGGAGCATCTCCTGTCATATGGCCACCACATACAGAGCACTCACTGTGTGCCAGATGCATGGGACACATTATCCCCTAACCTACCCATGGCCACACAGTGGGCAGTGCCAGAGCCAGGATCGGAGTCAAAATCCAGTACCTAAGTCCAGACTCTTTCACTCTGCCATGCTGAGAAATTGGCAGAAGAGGCCAGGGCAGGTGAGGAGGTCGGTGTAGGGGTGCAGCTGGAGGGCAGTCTGAAGCCAGAGCACAGTAGGCTTGGGTGTCAACCAACGTGGAGGGACTTTGCAGGCTTGGAGGATACCGCCTAGCCTGGCACACTGGTGCATTGGTGGGTGCTCACCAGTGCTGGCTGATTGGGTAATGGAGGGACGGAGCAGGAAGGAGACCAAATCCCAGCTGTATTTGAGAAAGGTTGTCTGGCAGCAGGGCTGGGGACTGGGAGACAGCCCAGTTGGGAGGGTGGAGTGAGCTGCCGTTGACAAAGGTCTGGGTTAAGTCACTGTCCACGAGTCAGAAGGTGAATGACAAACCCGCAGGGCACACTGGTAACTGGAAAGGTGGGGGGAGTGGGGAGGGAAAATCAAAGGCAGCTCCAGAGTTCCGAAAACGGGATTTGGCCGAGTGATAAGGATGCCAGTGTGAGAGACAGAACTCTGCTTTTGAGCCTTTTTAGACCATGATTCACAGAAAGAAATACATGTTACATCTGATCTAGGACATACACATGCACCAGATACAACAAACCAAATTTCACAAAACCTTGTTTAACCTGACTGCATGCAGTTCACATGAAATTGTTCAAAGGAATTCTATGCCTAAAAAAAATCAGACTGCAACCCCCATATTGATTTCATGGCCAACTAATGGATTACAACTTAGAGTTTAAAAAGGACTGAGAATATGGCAGGGGAGCAGGTTAAAGAGGGAAGGGCCAGGTGGAATGGATACAGTTCTGATTATATTGAAAGGAATCTGAGGGGAAACCAAACCAGCAACTAGTCTGGAGCTCAGAAATGAGCCTGGCCTAATGTGGGGGACCTAGAAGTCCTCATCCAGCTCCAGCTCCCTCCCTCCTCTCACCACCCATCTCTCACGCCCCCTCCTCCTCCGTCTTTTCCCTCCCCTTGTTCTCCCCCTCTCTCCCTCCCTCCCTCTCCATCCATCCTTTCCTTCCTCTCTCCCTCTCCCCCCTCTCTCTCCCTCACAGATGGGAAGATTCCTGGGGGAGGTGGATGGCGCTCTCATGACCCAGCTGCTCAGCACGGGGGTGTTCAGCCAGTAAGTGGGACATGCTGCTCCCCAGACTGAATACACACAGAAAAGGCAGGAGCTGATGCTAAATGGTCCCGACAGATATCGGGATCCTGACCTCAAAAACCCATAGTAAAAGCCCCAAAGAGCTCCCAAAGCAACCTTTCTGAAGCCAGGGACTTGACATGAGGTGGAGAGGGGTATAAGGTCATATGGGCCCTTAGAGGGAAAACCAAATTTGCTGTTCAACTTCTTTAAAGCAAAGTGCCGAGATGTAATTTTCTGATCTGCCTATCCTAACCCATGCACCCTCATGAATCCTGGTGAATGAAAACCCTGCAGCAAACTTCCCCTGGGTGGGGGCAGGGAATAGGGGAAGGTCTGGACTCCCCAGATTCTGTTTCTGATTTTCAGAGTGACTATGTATGACTACCAGGCCATGTGCAAACCATCAAATCACCACCACAGCGCTGCCCAGCCCCTGGTCAGCGTAAGTGTCACCCCAGACTTTCCTCCCACCTGCTAGCCCCAGGACCCCACTCTTGACTCTGATCAGAAAGTCCTGTCCAACCTCTTCCCACACCCCTGCTCCCTGTTCTCAGCCTGTCCCCTGCCCCCAGGTCTTCTCTCTGGGGCTTCAGGGAATTGTTCTGGCAGCTCGTGAGATAACTAGGGATCTCTGGCAGAGAAAGCAGACCACATAGCTCCTTTCTTGCTTTGTTCCTAACCTCAGTTGCTAGTGCTTTCACTAGCACCAGAAACCTAATTGGCTCATCAGGAAGAGAACTTCACTAGTCTTCTAGATGGGCATTGTCTAACCCCAAGTGTCTGCCCTACAATAGAAATTTATCAGATAACTCAGTTATAAATGTTCCCTCTGCTGGGAAGGGGTGGGGGGTGGTGGCAGCAGGAGGAGGATCCCCCCCCTCCGTGGTCGTTAATGGTGGTGCTGAGGGGAGCCCTCGCCAGGGTCCTGGGGTCCTGGGCTTAACTGTGTGTCCCCTTTCCTTCCCAGCCAATCTCTGCCCTCCTGACTGCTACCAGGTGGCTAGTGAATGAGCTCTTGCTGTGAGTGGGGTCTGCATCTGGGACAGGGGGTGGGGCCCTGGGGGAACTTCATGCAAGTGTGGCTTATGAGGGAGCCCTTTGAGCAGGAGCTGTCCAAAGTCCCCACAACCCCAGAGGAGGCAGGCAAGATCCCTGGGTGGAACTGGCCGGGCATGTATGATGCTTGCCTCCTACACTCTGCTGCCAGAGATTGTGAGGCTCTCTGCTCACCTACGAGCCTCAGGCAGGGAGAGAGTGTCCTGGAGGAGAGGGGCTTGACCAGGGGCCATCAGGGAGCTCTGGTGCTCCAGCTGGCTGAGGCCCCAGCTGGGGAGGACATGCAGGTCTCTGGGATTCCGCTCTGCATCTGACAGGCTCCTGCTCGAGTGGAGTGCCTGGGGCTCCTGGCGTGCAGACAGCAAGGCCGAGGGTGAGTATACAGGACCACAAAAGGGAGTGCTTACTATCAAAGCCATTTCAGTAGAATCTGTCACTTCTGGGTGGATGACAGAGGGGATGGGGACTCTGGAAAGTCCATTGCTCACCTCTCACCCTGCTGGGCCATCTCTCACTCATCACCTCCCTGTCACTCCTGGCTCCCCTCACCTCTCTGTGTGACATCACACCATCTTGGGACACCCACTGCTCCATGTGACATCATTCATCCCATGTGACATCACCACTCGTGCCATCCTGCCCTCATGGGACATCATGCCCACCCTGTGCTGGGCCTCACATCTGGACAGCCAAAGCGGTCTTCCATCAGTGTAAGTAGCATTCACTGGGGAGCCTGGGAGTGTGGGGGGTATGGGAGGGACTGCAAAGGGCCTGTCTTCAGCTCTCCATCCCAGGCGTGCATCTAAGGAAGGCTGAGCTCTCTTCACTGGGGACACCCTAACTCAGAGGGCCTCTCCCAACCTAAAGCCCCATTCCTCACGGGGCAGCGGGACAGCCCAGATCTTATCCCACACAAGTACAGTCCTACCCCAGGGGAACCACCTCCTTGGGTAGGAACATTTATGATTCCAAGTGGAAAAGGATGAGCAGCCACCAAATCTCCTTGCAGAGCAAGAAACAGTGATGCCTCCAGCTCAGGTGTCCACCGAGCCCTCAGCAGCGCTCAGGGTTGAAGGCATGGTAGGTGGAGGCCTTGGTCTGGTCACAGGAACACTCTGGAGACAGTACATCTCCTGTGACCTTGTATCTGAGGACTGTGTCCTCCAAAGGCCTGATCACAAGTCAAAGATCAGCTGTGACTCTAGACTGCCCCCCTCCCAGGAGAGTGCAGCCACTTGATCTTTAAATGCAAAAAGGAAGCTAGTGGCTTCCACTTGCCTGGCTAACATGGGGTTCCCCTACCACACAGGACTGTCTTGCTTTAGCCAGTTTTACTCAATTCTCCACGTTAATAGAGCCTTTGCCGTGGGGTTCTGGAACATTGCCACTGCCTGGGCTGCACTCCCCACCCCATTTTTGTTAAGACTTTGGCTTCCTGATGGTGTCTGTGACAGGAACCAGGAACCATGTGTCACAACCCATTTAGAAACAGGTCCCTCCTCCCCTCTGCATGGGAACACAAGGTGGGGGACACAGCTCCCCTCCTTATCTTTCTCTCTCTGCCAGCAGCTGCATCTTGCAAAAACTGGGAATGATCTCCCTCAATCTGCTTGTTCAGAATTTTTCATCTTCAGGGCAGCTGTCCCTGGAGCTTCTCCCTCCTGCCTAGGAGGCCTGGTCTGGCCACTCATCCATGTCCTCAGTGAATAGCGCTGGACTTGGGAGTCCAAGGACATGGATGAGTGAGGCCCTGATGCCCTTTCCCAGCTGCATGGGAGCCACTTCACCCTATCGTGGCTGGCATTGTTACTATCATTGTCACTGAGATAACCTACCCACACAAAGGGGCTCAGGTGACAGGCTTAGGGGACAAAGCCAGTGCAACTGGCCCCTGGAAGGAGTGGAGCTAGCCCTGAGTCTTCTGCAAGCTTTAGCCAGAGCACCCACTCTCAGATTCCAAGGGGGCCCAGACAGCCACACTGCCCAGCAGGAGCCCTTGAAGGTCTGGTGGAACCTGACCGAATATATAGACACCCAACTTCTCTGCCTGCAGACTCCCCTCCCCTCCCCTTCAAGGTCTAGTGGGAAGTTTCTGGGTCTGGGAGTTTAGGAGACCTATAGCTCTCCTCCTAACCCTGAGACCTACTAACCTATGTAATCCTGACTTAGGGATCTATCAAATGGGAGTGATACTGCCCACCCCTACCCCCCTATTTCACAGATAGGCCCTGAGAGCAAAAGGAAAGGCATGAGAAGTGCCTGGAAGAAATAGAAGTGCGGTTGACAAAACAGTGCTGCTATTTTGAACAGAAATAATATCACTCAGCCTGTGAACCAGCCTTGTTTTACTTTTGCTCACCTCAGGAGCAAATGTGGGCCCTTTAGGACTGGGCTTCCTGGGCCTCAACTTTTCCTTTTGCAGAGTCCTGTTCACTCATCCTTTGTCCCCTTCTGAGTGAATCCAAGTGTACCACACAGATACTAAGGAGTCTAAAAGGCTGTGGCTCCTGGGCTTAAGCAGCTCTGGGCACTGGAACCTCCCCTGCCGGTTCTCTCCCAGTCCCCGGCAGTCAGGAACTCAGCCCTTGCTGCTCTGCTCATAACTGGACACAGGGGTAAGACAGCAAGCCTAGGGCTTGTCCGGGAGCTGCATATGGAGAGCACTGTAGCTAGACTTGAGAAATGTCACCTGTACACAATGGGAATGGGAGGGCTGATAGCATTAAGGGACCAAAGTCTCCCGCAGCCACCCCTTGGCACTCCTACTACTCACCTCTCGGACCCTGGATGTCAGTGCTCATGGGCACCTTCAAGGGGTCCACTTCCACCCCTCCTCCCAACCAACCAGCTTACATTGAGGATCAGGCTTCCAAAGAGAGGAGGTGGTTTTTTCCAAGGTCACAGGGCTAGTTTGCTAATCACACACAACTGAGAGCCGAGGCCCCCAACGCCTTCTCTGCAGCCCTTTCCACTGTGATATCATTTGCTCCATTTATTCTGTTCCTTTTCCTTCCCTGTCTTCCTCCCACCCAACCTCTCCTCTACAAGCCCTGAGAACTTCTGACAAGGGGGCCATCTGCATGCACATGGACAAAGGGGCGTTTCATTGCATAGGGACTGCACCTGCCCTGGCAGTGCTGAAGCAGAGACCCCCACAGGCATGGCTTCTTGAGGCCCTCCCAATTCAGCAACACCCCATTACCCATGTGTGACTCTGTCTCTCTGCAGCCCACAAGCACAAGAAACAGGACATGCTGCAGCCCTGTGACACACAGTACCCCGTGTTTGTGCACCAGACGGCCATCCAGGAGACCAACGGGGCCATCGAGTGTGGGGCCTGCCAGAAGTAAGACCCAAGGGCAGCTCCCAGGGTCCCCAGCCATGCTCCCAGGGTCTTTGCCTCTCACTTGCCTTAGTGAAGGAAACACAGGCTGTTGCAGAGGGCAGGCCAGCTGGGGGCGCTGATCGGTTCCGTGTGCTGCTGTCTTAGGGAACCTGGGGAGAGCTGGTCCAGAGGCCAAATCCAGGCCCACCCGCCCCACCACAGCCTCCCAAGTCATGCCACACAGAAGAAAGGCTCCAACAACCTCTCTCGGTGACCCCCTGGGTGGATCTCACTCACACCTGTATAGCCCACAGCAGCTCAGTGTCAGGGCCAGGCAAGCTTGGCTGCATCTGCAAGCCCTTGGAAGTCAAGGATAGCTTTGAGGAAAGAAACCAGTCAGCTCTCCCTCAGAAATCTCTGTGCAGAGAGACTGGCAAGCTTGAAGGTGTTCTCAGGAGTGGGTGGGCTAGAAGAGGGCTCGTAGCGTTGTCACCTGGCCTCTCCACTCTTGGGCCTGGAGCCTGTGTGTGGCCCTGCCTAGACTCAGGCCTTCTCCCCTGTACAGACCACTAGATCTGACCAGCTCTGCCAAGCCCTGGCCCAGGAGGGCAGGAAGGCCTGACAGAAAGTTCTCTCCTGCTGACTCCCACCCCGACCTCAAGGACCTCCCAAAAAGCCCTGCCATTACCAGGGGCTTCCCAAGATGTACCTTAGAGCCCTAGACCTCAAGCAAATTATTTTATAGTGTAGCACCTCAGACTGTGGTGTGAGATAGTCAGACCTACTAGTGTGCAATGCCTGGGATTTTAATCTCACCACAGCAGCTTTCTTGGAAATATTGTTATTTATCTCAAAGTCTTGTTATGAGGATAAAGTAAATGGTATGGTATAAGGCAAAGACTTTATAGAGTAGACAGATTTGAGTTAAAAAACTAACTCTGCTACTTCCTAGTTGTGTAATCTTGGGCAAGTTATTTAACCACTTCTAGCCTGTTCTCTCAGCTACAAACAGGAATAATACCAACCTCATACAGAGTGGTGAAAGTTAAATATATATGCGCATGTGTGTGTGTGTGTGTGTGTGTGTGTGTGTGTGTGTGTGTGTAAAATCATCCACCCCAATAGGAAATGCTCAAGAAGTGGCAGCTACTGTTATATAATGCGCCAGGCCTAGTGCACAAGCTTTCCCTAATCCTTCACTCCCTCCCTCTGGTGGGGCTCCAGGCTGTGTGCAGGTGTGCTGTGTGTGCCACCTTGTGGCCAAGCCTGAGCACTGCATCTTCCCAAAAAGGCCTGGCCTCCGCCATCATCCAAAGCAAGGACAGCCACACATCCCTATTTGCTTGGGACAGTCTTGATTTATGCTTGTTGTCCCTGCATATATTAATAACAACTCCTTTCACTCTCAAAATGTCCCAGTTTGGACTTCCTCACCTTTGATCTGCTAGAAAGGAGCAGTACAACTGCAAAGGCTTGTGGGTAAAATAAGCCAAAAGTCCTGAGTTCCTTGCCTAGGACTGTCCCTGCAGTCATGATCTGACCTGCCTCATGTTTCTGTTCCTTCCTCTGCCAGCCCAACTCCACACTAAGTCTCCAGAAATTCTCTCCCTAGAAACTCAATGTGATGCTTGCCATAGAGAAGTTTCATGACCCATCTCTCTCTCTGCTGCAGGATATTTGTGATGCAACAGATTCCCAGTAGTAACCTTCTCCTCCTGGTGACAGACCCCACCTGTGACTGTAGCATCTTCCCACTAATCCTGCAGGAGGCTACAGAAGTCAAATATATCCTTCCAATCCTCCACGATATGCCGGCTGAGGGAAGGGTGGAGGTGAAGGAGACGTCACTGAGGGGCTCAGATTTTGAGAAGCCGAGGCCAGCTTCCCTCACCGTCAGCATCCCACCCTCCCCCACAGAGCATTGTGATTTGTTCTCCAGCCTTCCACCCCACTCCGACCCCCCACTCCTGGGTGCTGCCTCTGACCTTAGAAGCCACTTGCAAGACAGCTGGTCCCACCAAGGGGAGTTTCTTCCTGAACTTAGTCTCTAGAATCTCCAGAATCCATTCCTGTCATGAGGTGTTCACCTTAACAGTGAATTCTTCACATAATGCCTCTGTCAAGTGTGACAGGATGCGCTCCCAGAAGCTTCGCAGGAGACCAGATTCCTGCCATGCCTTCCATCCAGAGGTGAGGGCTGGAGGGGAGATAAGGGGCAGGGCTTGGTCTTCATCCCCAAATCCTCAGCTCTGGGACTGTGCCAAGGCACTTGCAGATAGGAGTGCTTCTGGACACTTATGAACATAACCGTACACGTGATCTCTGTGGAATACATTTGTGCATGTGCATTTACATTTAGGCCCCTGTGTCATTCAAATACTAAGTCAACCAGGAGCCAAGGATACTCTTACAAGGAGGGCCAAATTTCCCAGGGTTTGGGCCCTCAGTGGTTTAAAACCCAGCTTCCCCATATTGCTGTTCTTACTACTGCACTTAGCTCCAAATGATCTGATCAAATAGAAGAAACCATTATATGCATAATACTAATGGTGACCAACATTAATTGAGCACCCACTATGTAAGGTGCTTTTAGCTTATGGCCTTAACCTGGGTGCTTTATACATAGTATTGTCTTTACTGAATATGACTGCCACAAGTTATCCACCTCAAAGAAACTTCCAGAGTTGATGGCTTCCCTAAAGTCATTCTAAGGCATGGCCCCACAGCCACTCCAAGACTAGGGACAAGCAGAGGCTTGAGCCCAGTTTTGGGCTGAGTGTACAGCCTCTACTTTTCCCTACAAGGCAAACAGCCTAAAGGTGCCAGTACTTCCTCCATTTTCTGGAACTTCCTTCTTACTCTAGGTTTTTGGTTCCTATTAGTCCCAGAGACCCTCCTCCCTACTCCTTGTCTCCTCTGGTAGGGATGGTTGCCTCATCTTGAATGCTACCCTTTCATCTCTGCTCTGGGTTCACAGGAAAATGCCCAGGACTGTGGTGGCACCTCGGACCTCTCAGCCTCGCTCCCCATGCTCCTGCTGCCTCTGTGTGTCTGGGTCCTTCCACCCCAGTTGCTGCGGTGACACCTGCCCAATCTGACCTCTGTTTTGATGAGATGGTCCTTGCAGAGATATTCTAAAGAGTCAAAAACTGGTGTGGGATCCACCTCACTACACCTGGGTTATCACCCAGGTCACTGTTCATCTCAATCTTAGGCTAATGGTCCCTGCCTCCTGAGCTTCCTGGACAGAACCAGAAACCACTTCTCAAAGACCTTCCAGGGTATCTAGTACCATCCACCCCAAGTCTCGATGGGCATCCTCCCATCCTTCCTACCTCCTCTTCAGGAGCCCAGCATGAGCTCAACTTGGACCAAGACAAAAGAATTCAATTCCATCTATTTTCCAGAAGTCCAGAGCCAGCCAAGGGTCAGCTGTTTCTAATGAACCTGGTCGGACTTTGGAAGAATCCAAGAACTTAAAGGTACTGAGAAAGAGGGGCAGAATGAGGCCAACAGCAGAAAATGAGATGAAGAACATGCTTCATCAACCTGAAATACAGCTTTCTCAAAATGAGATGCATGGTTGAGGGTAGCTCAATTTCCTAGCTGCTACTCAAAAAAGTTGTGTGTGCGTGTGAGAGAGAAACAGAGAAAAAGAGAGAAGGCAGGAAAGTAAATAGTAATGGGAAAAACTCTTCCTACAGGTATTAAATCCTTTTATATTACTGTGGTATATGCAAACTATTGCCATTAAAAAAACTTCTAAAAATGTCTTTACAAAGCTCTAACATACAGGAACTTTTGTATCTAAGAAAATGCCAATAGGGTAAAATATACAGCTGCTGCACTAGAAGGTGATGTAAGTGGCGTAGGTATAGATGTAGCTGTAGCCAAGCATAGAGGTCCCAGAAAAAAGAACAGTCCTTCACAGTGGACTGGTGAGGGGTCTCCTGAGGGGTAGCTCCAGACTCCGCAAGAGGTCCAGGTCCCATGGCAGTCTTTTTCTAGCCACTAATCGATGCAAGACATTACCAGACTCTATCCTTCGGGTTGGAACTTCGGGGAACATTCCAATATGCAAAGCAAAGTCCACTGAGAGGGGAGCTCTAGCTAGCTAAGAACTTACTCTCCACATGCACAACTCCCCGCAGGAGTCTCAAGGCCCTGGAGCTTCCTCCTCCTTCTCCCTCAGACCTGGCTCCTGAGAGACAGCAGTCTCCACTGTGAGAGCAATATTAAAGATAGAACCATGTAGAAATCTTTAGGTGGCCTCAGATCTTTAAATTTAACCAACCTCCAATGAGGAGGTCCAGCCAAATCCCATGACAGGCACAGACAGCATGCAGGGCCTCAGGGAACCCTTCCTTCCAGTCCTCCACAATTCAGAGTACAAGCTTCCCACCAGCAAATAGTGCCATTTCCCTAGAGTAGGCTGACTCTGTATGGCCTTGTTCATTGCAGTGTTTGTAACATGCCTTGTATTATTGATTACCTGACGTTGTTTTCACCATTTAGTCTCATAAGCCTGCGAGGTAGGCATTAACAGCCCCATTTATAGTTGAAGAAATCGAGCCTCAGAGAAGACAGTGACTCAAGCTCACTTGCTCAGCCAGTTTAAGTGGCAAAATAATGCTAGGAATGGCCAAGGCTTACAGGTAGCTGGTAAGTAACAGGTATTGACTCAGTTAATCCTCACAACAACCCTCTGAAGTAGGTACTGCTATTAGCTCCATATTATAGAAGCACAGAGTTGAAAATTGACTGCCAATTACTGAAAGAGGTTTATGAAGTTTGAGTGCGATATTCATGTAATGTGCTGGGCATATAGTAAGCATGAATTACATGTTAACTACTATTATTCTATTCCCTCATTTTGTGAAGGTGGGGGCAAGATATGACACTTTGGATGCCAAGAATAACATGCAAAGATCACAGGTGTTTGTCTGCCTGGCACAGGTGGTTAAGAAAGCATCAGGGAACCCTTTCTCCAGCCCCCTCGATTGCCACCACCTTCATAAGACTTTACTGTGACAGGCATGGCAACATGAACACTTCCTAACTGTTGCTCCAGCAACACCCCCCTGCCCCCCCCCCCAACCAGGACCCATGGCCTTCCCTCTGCCTTTCTTTGTCTGTTTCTGGCCTCCAACAGGATCCAACCTCTACTACCAACTCCCAGACACAGGCTGCTTGTCTTTCTCCCTAAAACAGCAAGCCTGTCTTTTGAAAGGCCTGTCTTCCCTGCCCAACCAGGGAGAACATTTTCAGGCAAATTTATCAACCATCTTAGCTATGTAATTTAAAAACCAAGATTAGAAGTACTGGGGCAGTGGGGGTGAACAGGTGGCTCAGTTGGTTAAGTGTGCATCTGATTTCAGCTCAGGTCATGATCTCATGGTTCATGAACTCAAGCCCCGCATCGGGCTCTGTGCTGACAGCTCAGAGCCTGGAGCCTACTTCAGATTCTCTGTCTCCCTCTTTCTCTGCCCCTGCCCTGCTCACGCTTTCTCTCTCTCAAAAATAAAAAAAAAATTAAAAATTAATTAAAAGAAAAAAAAAGAAGTGCTGGGGCAGCTCCTGGCCTTGTTTTGTCTGCTTCATCCCCAGGCCTCTGCATGGCCAAGAAGAGACCGTAAAATTGGGAAATCACTTTTAGAACCAATGGAAGGAATGAACTACTTCTGATAACTAGCCTTGTTCCTCGCCTGGCAGAACAGAATGTTCTCTTGAACTCCTGAGGTCAAAACTATTCCTTTCTTCTTTTAACAGAATAAAGGACAGCAGGTGGCAGCCTAGCCCAAGCTAAAGAGCCATCACTTTGATTTCAGAGGAACAAAGTTAAAACCAAAGTCATTTAATAAAGAACAAGATTCTGGAAGACAGAATCTTGACATTTCTTTACAATGTTGCACGCCTTTGGATGACCAGTAACTCAAAGCTGCTTTCAGATCCTTTCTCAGTACAGTGATACATTAACTAGTAGATCCACCTAATAATTTTGTACATTTTAATAGAAGTGCTTTCAGGTTAAGAGTTCACTACTTCATAATGCTAAGTGAAGTTTTGGTTTAGGAGGACAAGGAAATGGACATATCTTAAAGCCAGAAAAGTAAATACAGGGAAGAGGGTGACAAAAGGGAGGGATCAGATAAGAGTTTGGCAGAAATGCCAGCCAATCACTATGTAAACTTTGAGAAATGTTAATCTCAGTGAAAGATGCAAAGAATAGAAGCCCATTTTAACAGGTGAGAAAAGGTGCATTAGGAAAATAAAACGACTCTTCCTAGGTCACTGGCAAATGGCAGAACCTAACTCTGAACCTACCTCTTTTTTCAGGTAAGCATAGCCAAGGCAAGGGATGGTAGTGGGCCATAATGAGAGGCTTTCATGTTCGTGCAGCTAGATTTCCTGTTTCCTCGGTTTCCCCTAGGCCATCACAAGTAGAAGTTACAAGGGGCAAACTGACCTTGTTTCCACCAAGTCAAAAAGTTGAAGGCAGAAAAACTTTGCACATTAGGAAACAGGGAGCAGTGGTCAATAGTTCATGACCAGTGAGGGAAGGAAAATACAGAATGTGCTGTAACTGAAGCACAATATTCTAGAGACAAGGATATTATTTCTGGGATAACTTTAAAGCAACATTGCCAAGAGCTTCTTTAGGGAACTCAGAGCCCTAGCAGTCTATAAAGTCAAAATTCAAACTTACCCTTTATTTCCTTTATAATATCCACAGAAATCACCTGAGAAAGGAAGCATATAGACCGTTTTTAGCAAGACTAGGAAAAAACCAAGTGTTTTTTTTTTAAAAGGCCTCAGAAGAGAATGCAATCCAGTGTTCTATACACAGATAATATATAGGGAAACCCTAAAGTTAGATCTATACTTAAAAACGAGAATTCAAATATTGGAAATTCCCCTTGCAAAACAATTTACCCAAGGCAAAGGGGTTGGGATTCCTCTTTTGTAAATTACACAAAGGGTTAACAAATCCCAAAACCTTTAAGTCAACATACATGAGACTATTTAACCCAAAACATACATGAGACTATTTAACCCAAACTTTCTTCTTATTGTGAAGAGTGCTGGCACAAGAGACTCAGACCTGGCCTTTCTGAGCTTCAGTCTCCTCATCCAGGAAATGAGGGAATAATACTGATCTGTTCACAGGGAGGTGGTTACAGGTATCTGAGATGTCAAGAGTCCTTCAACAGAAACTTTCCCATGAAGTGTCCATTATGTTAGGTATTATTCTTATAAACTTTAACCATAAATTGAGAACTGGCCTTGGAGTTAGCTCTCCCCTCCATTCTAACCTGGTCCCAGTTGTCATGAAAGTTTAAGAAAGGTCAGGAAAAGTGAGTTGGGCATACTTTGACTTATACACTGAGAATGGGAAGTCTCTGAAGATAAGCTTCAGTGTCTAAATTAAGGCTTCAAGGGAGGTAAGCTGAACCAGTAAAAAAGTACACAACAAAAGTTCATATTCCATTTGGTTCTTTTTATTAGAAGTTGAGAATACAGCAAGTAAGGGAAATCCCATGATGAATGGAACCATCACACAGAGGCCTCTCTGGAACCCCAACCTTCTATGATCCCCCAAAATGTGCTTTGTGGCTTCAGCAATTTATAAAGGGGGAAGGGGAAAATACTGAAAAAGGCCACTATTTAATGGTGAATGAAGCTGTAGAGGTCCTAACCAGCCTAGGGCCAACAAAGAAAATTAAAAATCTGCACAGAGCAAGCAAGCCTCTGATGCTGAGAGTAAGGCATTCAGGCGCCAACCTGGTGAGAGTTCTCAGCAAGCACTGTGAAAACCAAGTGCACAGTGAGGCTACTGGTAGTGAGTTGCACATAGACACACACATATAAATGGGCGCACACACCCACACACGCGCGCACACACACCCTAAAGAGGGAGATTTTTACTGGATTACGCATCATTGATGTTAATTTCATTTTTCCTAACAGTTTGTGCTATATTGAACCAGATTCAGCTCCTCCTTTGGGGTGTGGGGTGACTGGGCCCGGAAACTGCTACTTCTGTTGGTGTTGTTACAGGGCTGCATCTTACACCCTGTATCCCAAAGCGCATGACCGAAGAGCAAGTCTGGCTTCTGATATGTGCTGTTGCTTCCATGAGACTAAGTGAGCTTTCTTCCCGATGGCCACTGACCTGCTGGGCTGTTCCCTCAAAGGGAGTAATACTGTTCTTTATGTTGTCAGGCACTGCACCAGTCTTGTCACCCACTCAGTCTTTTGCTGGGTCCCCTAGCACCCAGGGCAGTTAGCTTATTCAGAACCAAAACACTCAAGTTCCTTCCAAGTTCTACCAGTGGAGTCCTTCTTCCTGGTTCCCAGCTTTTGCTGGAGATTGGAAGGGGAGAGAAAGGAGAATAATGACCAAGGAAACTCATTACTGAAAAGGAGGCCCTCCCCATATTCCCAAGCACCTATTCGGTGCCAGTCCCTGTGCTCAGGGCCTCAACGTTTCCCTCTAAAGCCCACAATCCCCAGGGTGTAACTCAATCACCTGGAGTCTTGGATGATAGCAAGTAACCTAAGACTCAAGTGCTATTTCGGTGGTTTGCCTATGAGCCAAGCTCAGGGTTCTATGAACCAGAACCTTCCCCTACCACTCTCCCTGAGGGTACCTCTGGGGCATGAAAACTCATTTTTCTATTCCTGGTAGCTCTTTAAAGATACAGCTTAAGGACTGTACCAGATTCCCTGGCAGTAACAAACAACTTTCTTTTAAAACTTCCCATCATGCTATCCCCCAAAACTGGGGTTCAGAGAATACTGAAAACTCCATGGTGGGTACTGGACTTTGCTTTTATAAGAGTTCCACTGGCCTTCTTGTTCGAAGGACAGCTGACATGTGTATCACAAACTAGGCTTACTAAGCGATGCGAGAGGTGAAATTCATCTTTCCTGATCTAAAGGAAGCATTCTCCAACCTATGTAAATGAGCTCAGGAGGCACCTGGACAAGTCAGAATCTCTTTTGTAGCTGGCTCCATGCCAGAAACTGTGATGCCAGGAAAAGGTCCATTTACATTCCCAGGAGGAAGAAAGGTAGTTAGGGCAGTGACTTTAACAGAAGGAAATTTCTAGGGCATTCCAGAGCTCTATAGCAAGGATATGGAAAACTCACATCCCTTCAATCAGATAAAAATCACCACAAAATTGAATAGGATGCCAGGAAGTAATCAGATCAGGACATTTCCAGAGCTCCTCCTACTGTCTCCACTACCCCTTTGCTGGCATAACTGATTTTCCCAAGTAGATGGCTCTACTTTTTAGAAGGGGTCACTATCAGCACAACCAGTCAGTCTCTCAAATGATACCTTAACTAGAGCCTTTATCTAACACATCCTGTTAGCCTCACGTGCTGCTTCCACTGAGAAAACACATACAGCTTCCCTCTACCACAGGACTCTCAAAAGCTCTCAGACATGAGAGTGGGGATGTGATCACTGGGTTAGGGCTGTACTTTCTGCCCCCCAGGGTCCAAGGTATGTCAGCCTTTAGAAGGCACCTTGGTGTACCAAGGCATTATACATTCTGGGGCCATCACCTGAACCTCCTACAGTCACCTTGTGCAAAATTGAAACAGTGTGTGGTACTTGCATGTTTCATTCTATACAAAAATTCCCTTCCCTCCCCTACCCCTATGTTTTAAACATTTATATAAATTCTTATTTAAACAGTAAGTTAGAAATCTTATTTACATTAATTTCTTTGTTCTCCCAAAAGAGCATCTAAAATCACATTCCCACCCTTTAATAGGATACAAATGTTCCCCTAAATTTGTTTGTATTACTGATTTAAGGAGAGAGAAAGGGAGAACAAACCACCAGCTACACTGTTTTCCCATCTTCTACAAATAAATATGAACACGGATCAGAAGCCAGTTTGCCAAGGGTCTTGCAGAGCCCTCAACTGATAGATCCCAAGTATAAGTCAAGGTCTGGGCCATTTCTCCTTTTCTCCAAATTGATGCACTCCATCCTGTGAGGTATGATTTATTTTTGTTTTTCTCTTCTCAGCCATGTACCAGGTGGAGCCCCAGGGGCATCACAAAGCCCATGAGGCTGTCAAAGTTTTGGGGCTCCTCTGGCACTGGCATCGATGGCCAGTAAGAGAGGCCTGCAGGTACCACAGGCCTTGGTTCAGGGTCACAGTCCCTGGCTTCTGGAAGGTGTCACAGTGCATCTTCTTCACTGCAGCCTCCGCCGATCATGAAACGGAACTCCTGGAGGTTTGAGACACCGTGGAAGTGAACGAAAGCGCCAGCAACCACAAAGATGTGAAACAGCTGATGAGAGTGAAACTGGAGGCAAGGGGGAGTGGGGAGGGGGAGAGAAATCCATTCGTTATTAAAGTCTGCTAAAGAGTCTTCAGATCATTTGTGCTGAGCAAGGCAGGGAACGGAGGTGACAGAGCTCAAATTCGAAGTGTCCACAGATCTTGGAACATCCATTAGGCATATCACATTCTGCTGAACCAAAGGCTAGCCATCCCCAAAGAAATCAAGGTGCTGCCACTAAGTTTTAACCATGAAGATTTGCACATGTAACACTGGAGTATCTGGTGAACTCAGAGGCAAATGACATACACATACTCTTGCCAACAGACATCAAAGGCCCAAGGATTCCTCCTTGCCCAGCAATGGACTGCAGTTAGACATGGGGAGGTTTTTCTCATTGCTGATGGAGATTTTTATCATGGACTGAATAAAGCACCAGAGCTATGGCCATTTAAATGTTGCTCTCTCCCAGAAAAACTACAGGGATTTCTAGGATTAGGTAGAAGGTCAAAACATATGTCTGCTCAGCTCTAAGAGTCTGGAATTACATGAACATACTGTATCAAAAGACTAGGGAAGCCAGGGCCTTTTAATTCCTTCTCAAATAAGAAATTGGTCTATAAGCATGTGATGTTTTTTTCTGACTTAATCTGTTCTTTTGAATGCTAGTTCATTTCTTAAAAGGGGTTATCAATTGCTCAGTGCACCAAACATCACTTCAAAAATTACACTATTCTCTCATTATACTCTCAAAATGAAAAAGTACAGTTGCAAAAACAGTATTCATCAAGGGAAAGATACTGATTTTAAAGGTGTAAACTAGAAGTACCCACAAGTCACATCCCAAGAAAGGCTTCCTAGGAAACCAATGGGGATTCATTCTCCCAAAAGTGGGGGGAGAATTATCTCCATAATCAACATCAAAATGACAATGAGGCAATCTCCAAAAGATAAATTAACTAATTTGAACCTGAAAGATTGCCTAAATTAGTATTATCTTCATTTTAGGAGGGCTAAATTAAACTTTGAAGACTAGGTGATCAACTTAGCCTACAATAATCAGCAACAGGTTTGAGGAACAGAATTCCAAAGGTCAGACTTCATATCCAACAACACTCCAATTCTAGTTTCAGGCCAATTTCAGTTATAAAATTTTCCATCTGTTGGTCCCTTCTATTTCTTTTCCATCCCTTTTTCCTTCTCTCTTAACCACAATCTAGTTAACTCTACCTCCTATTGTAACCAAACACACATATACACACTCAATCTCTCATTACAAATCACTGCGTTTTAGTATCAAAAAGGACTTTGGTAAAAACTCTAGTCCATCACCCTCATTTTACAAATGAGGAAACCAAAACAAACTAAATGCATGGCCAATTCAGTGTAGTATACAGGAGCACAGATTCTGATATCAGACTAGCCTGATTCAAATTCTGCTCCTACCACCCAGGAGTAACTTGTCCTAATGTTGCTAGTCTCCCTAAACCACATTTCCTAATCTGTAAAATGAAAACATTAATAAAAGTTGCCATACCTTATACGGCCGATGTATTAAATGAGGTAATTTATGTAAAGTGCTCACTCAGTACCATGCCAACACCAAGTTAGTGCTCAGTAGAAGTCATCACTGTACTTATCCAGAGAAACACTAATGAGGGATAGTTACAACTAGAATACAGGTCTCTCAATTCTTAGTCTAAAACTTTTTCAATTATTTCACTCCCCGGTCTTCCAATAACAAACTAACAGATATGTATGTATACACACTAACTGCCCCTGATCATACTTACCCAGATATCACACTTGCCGGGAAAGAAGCGTTCAGGGATGCGGGCAGCATACAGGGCAGCGCCTGTGATATAGAGGCTGGCCATCAGCATCAGCCAGCCAATCTGCCCAATGGTGGCAGCCTTCAGGAATCCTTCCGAGATGACATAGTGAAAGGTAGGAATGATTCCACTCAGGCCAAGGCCCAAAAACACTCCTAGCAATCATAAGAACAGAATAAAGCAAAAATGCAGAAGAGAAATAAGGAAGAAGAAGTCAATATTAAAATACAGTACTAGTAATTCTACAAACTGAATATTTCAAGTATGATGCAACACTGGCTTCTTGTTTGAAAGGAAAAAGGTTCTTCAAACTCTTGGACACTGCCACACCAGACAGCACAGCTAAGTTCTAAAAGACAGATCTATTTACAAATGCAAGGAGCCTCCCGCTAAGAGATGCTTAGTTTAACAAGTCAGCAGTCCTCAAAGGGTACAGAATTGTGTCGCTAAGGGTTTCAGGAATGGACAGTTCTAGGAGTTTGTTTAAACTTCCCTAAATGTTGCCTCTTTATAGACAAAGATTGCAAAACAGAGCAGTTTTACATATTTTATCTTCCCTGTGAAACACCAGATATTCCTGGCGTTTAAGCAGAGTGAAAGGGTGGAGGTGGCAACTGGGCGGAGGGGAGGGCACGACTGCTCCTGAAAGCTCCCAGGCCCAAAAAGTACCAATCCAGTACAGAAATCTATCAGAATCACTCCACCACAGCCCTACTGCTTTCCAGATCATTTATAGCAGTGTTTTTCAAACTTCTGGATAGGACCTAGGTTATAAGATCAACTAAGTGATCTCAATCAACAATTTTTTTTAAGTGAACTAAAACAAAGTAAAAATTACCAGACTGTCATAAATAGAATGTTAAGTAAAAGTCTGTAAAAAGCTGAGTAATTTATATGTGTGTGAACTTACGAATATATACACAAATATGTGTCCATCAAAACACCACAGGAACACCTCTCAGCAGCCAGTAACTGCTCCTACATTTTGACACAGTTAAAAATGATCTTTAACTCTCAAAATACAAGAGGCATATTGCTTGCTTTGGACATTACCAAATACACTGCTGGTATGCAGCAATATATGTATACACATACATCTCCAAGAGAAGAGGAAAATGGCAATACTCCTCACAGAAGAAAAATCATCATGATCCTGTTTCACTTGTTATTTCCCTCTACGTGTTAAATAAAGGCTCTACTGGTCTTTCCTATCATTCTTGGAAGTCAGAGCCTCAGGAACTTGGTTCTTCTGATTTGTATCATAGCAGAATGTTTCTTATCTCACATGCTTAAGCAGGCTTAGCACCACAGTTAAGTACTACTGGACGCCAATCCTGACCACTGGTTATCTGCTCATATGATCACTTAAAAAGGGAAGTCGGTAGACTGTTGCTAACAGTGGTCATTAACAAGAAGTTAAATTCTAACTTCTAACCTTCTAGGTAACCGTAGAAGAGCCGCAGCTTGGATTTTAATACTCAATGTTTTGTTTTTGTTTTTTTAAAGGTCAAAAGAAAACATACTCCTTTTACTACTAATTGTTCATTCTCAGCACCAGGCTTGGCACTGTGGATAGAAAACTGAAGACATGGTTCTGCCTACAAGGAGTCCCCAGGCTACTGGGAGACAAAAACATGTCTCTCTGAACTCCACACTTCTACAGGAAAGCTCAGCCAAGGCCTTTTGGCTTTCCATATGATCTCCAGCTAAACAAGCCATTATCCTAAATATAAAAAGCCTCTTTATCCTTACATCAGAAGAGATGTATGGTGCCTACTTGAGTAGAATACAATCAGTATGGAGTGAAGTTTTTATTTACCTAAGCAGTACACATGTTAGAATAAAAATATAAAACAAAACAAAACAAAAAATGATAACAACAACAAAAGAACAAATCACTAAAAAAAAAGTATACTCCAAGCTGACAGACTAAGAATAATCATTGTTTTACAAAGGTTACAGAGCCACTTGCTGCCTTATGGACAGCATATAGTCATAAACTCAAGTGAATTACAAAATATATACATCAGCTCATAAAGCTCACAATACCCTAAACTCTAGTGCTTTAAGATAACTGATGAACACTACTACATAAAAAGCCCTCAAAGAATAGAAACTATGACTTATTTATATTTGCATCACAAGTACACAGCATAAGACTTGCCAAGTAGGCCTTTAATAAATGACTGGTAAATAAATCAATGTCCAATGCAAAACTCTCGTATCTCTTACCTGCTCTTACTCCTCGATACTGAGGGGTAGCAAACATGTCCCACTGGGAAACTATGATGGCCGCAATGCCCAGCACACAGATGACAATCAAGTAGATGAAACAAGGTTGTGGATTACAGTAGAAAGAATAATAAAGCCATGGAACAAAACTTCCCATAATCAGAAGAGCAATACCAGAGTAATCCAGTCTAAATTAAGAAAAAAAAAATCCATTTGATGTTAAAAAGTACTGCCCACTACAGGTTCCAATTAATCCCCTATGACATGAGCTAGCAGTAACAGCCAAGAGGCAAACTAGGATGCTTGCTTTAAATTAAAAACCAAATAAATAATTTTTTTTTAAGTTCTCTTCAGATGGTATCAAGAATTCTGCCTACTCTACTGGATGTTTTTCCCTAACCACTGACTCTAATATTTGATTACAATGTAGGCTTTCAGATACGTACTTAGAGAAGAGCCGGGAGACCCCTTCTGAGTGGCAGTAGACTGTGTGGAAGAGCCATGAAAAAGAAAGGCAGAGAATGGCCCCCAAGAAGAATAATCCAAAGACCACCTTCTCTTGCAGAGGGGCCACAAAGGAGATGTTTGGGCGAAACATATAAAAGATCCCCAGGCACAGGAAGAATACACAACCTATGAAAAGAGTGTGGGGAGAGAAAAGATTATCCTTGTGAAGAAACAGTGCTGTATATTCATTAGGCTTTCAGTCCTTCACAATCATAATGATATCTAAATCAAAAGTTCCATAAGAAAAATGTTCCAAATAACTGAGGCTTATCCAAAATTTTGGTCTACTTCATACATGGTTGGTACCCTATACTCCTCAGCCTCAAAAAATGAGTTTGTAGAATACAGTAACTTATCTAACAGCATAATCAAAAAAAAAAATACAATGCTGCTACTTCTTAGAAGGCTAAATTATTCCACTTCTACCTCTAGATCTAGTATAAAATTTCATTTAGAAAGTTTTTGGTGGGGCACCTGGGTGGCTAAGTCAGTTAAGCGCCTGACTGCTGATTATGGCTCAGGTCATGATTTCATGAATTTTGAGTTTGAACCCCATGTTGGTCTCTGCACTGACAGAGCAGAGCCCGCTTGGGATTCTGTCTCTCCCACTCTCTCTCTGTCCCTCCCCCATTCACACTCTTTCTCAAAATAAATAAACTTAAGAAAGAAAGAAAGAAAGAAAGAAAGAAAGAAAGAAAGAAAGAAAGAAAGAAAGAAGAGAAAGAAAGAAAGAAAGAAAGAAAGAAAGAAAGAAAGAAAGAGAAAGAAAGAAAGAAAGAAGAGAAAGAAAGTTAGTTAGTTTTTAGCACATATATTGGAGTCCAGCTTTCAAAGGTCCATTTTATGTTTGCTTTGCAATGAATTCTAATACCTCCAAACCCTGGCAAGACATACAGCTTTCCTCCACCAACAGGTGTCAAGGAATATTATGCTTCTCTGGTCCTGTCCATTGACCCAATAGATTCAAAAGTTAAGGAAAATAAATTATGCCCATTTATGTTATTTCATAACCAGTTTTTCAACTGCTCTTTTTCACAATGAGATACATGTTTTTATTACTTAGGGAAAGGCCACTTAACACAAGGAAGGCACAGAAATTAAGAAGTTAAACATGTGCTCCCTCTCTCTCTGTCCCTCCCCCACACATGTGGTCTCCCTCTCTCTCAAATATAAACAAACATTAAAAAAAAAAAAAGAAGAAGTTAAACATGTGCTATGTGACTGACTATTCAATCTATTTAATAAATCTTTTACCCCTGAGTTGGAAGTCAGCAACAAGCTGGATTTGATTCTCTATTCCACTCTTACTACACTAGCAGGCAGGAACTTGGAGACACAATGGAAGCCAAATGTGTGATATGAAATGCAAGTCAAATCGGGTAAGCCAGAAAAGATTTAACATATTCACAATGTTATGCAACCATCACTATTATTTAATTTCAGAATATTTTCATCACCCCAAAAAGGAGCCTATACCTATTACATTCATCTCCCACTCCCCATTACCCCACAGCCTTAGACAACCACAATCTACTGTGTCTGTGGATTTTCCCATTCTGGGCATTTCATGTGTATGGATCATACAGTCTGGCTTATGCCACTTAGCATAATGTTTCAAGGCTCACCTATGCTGCAGCACATATCAGTACTTCATCTCTTTTTACGGTGAAATAATACTTCATTTGTATGGATATACCACATCCCGTTTACCCATTCACCAGCTGAAAGATGTTTGGATTGTTTCTACTTTTCAACTATTACAAATAATGTTGCTAAAAACATTTGTATACATGTTTTTGTATGAACATGTTTTCAATATTCTCGAGTACCTAAGGAGCAGAACTGCTAGTGACTCAGTTTAACTTTCTGAGGAAGTGCCAAACTGTTTTCCATAAAGACGGAACCATTTTACATTCCTACCAGCAATGTATGAGAGTTGTAATTTTTCTACATCCTTGCCAAGATTTGTTATTTTCCATTTTCTTGATTATAGCCATTCTAGTGAGTATAAAGTGGTATCTCATTACATTTTTCAAAGTTTTTGATTTGCATTTCCCAAAATGACTAATGATGTTGAGCATCATTTTTTTTTTTAACTGAAACAGAGTTGACACTTCATCATCTTTCCATGTGTTTACTGGCCATTTGTAGATCTTTGGAGAAATGTCTATTCAGATGCTTGTCCTTTTCTTGTTTAGTTATAGAAAGTTATTTACTAGATCCTCATCAGTTGTATGATTTGCAAATATTTTCTCCCATTTTGTGGGTGATCTTTCCACTTTCTTGATAATGTCCTTTGACATACAAAAGTTTTTAACTTTGAGAAAGTCCAACTTATCTATTTTTAATTTGGTTGCCTGTGCCAAATTTAGGCATCAATTCTAAGAAACTGTCACCTAATTCAAGGTCACAAAGATTTACATCTGTGTTTTCGCCTAGGTTCTATAGTTTTAGTTTAGGTCTTTGATCCATTTTGAGTTACTTTTGTATATGGAGTGATGTAGAGGTCCAACTTGATTCTTTTACATATAATTACTCAGTTTTCCTGAATACCATTTGTTGAAAAGATTAATCTTCCCTCGTTGTACTCTTTCTTTAATATGCAATCATGATGGAAAAAAAATTATAGATCACATTCTACTTCAAGTGAAACTAAAATTGTGAATATTTTAAGTAATGACTTTGAAAAATCAGGGTTTTTTTAAATGTTTATTTTTATTTTTGAGAAAGACAGAGACAGAGTGCAAGCAGGTAAGGGCAGAGAGAGGGAGACACAGAATCCAAAGCAGGCTCCAGGCTCTGAGTTGTCAACACAGAGAGCAACACGGGGCTCGAACTCACAAACTGTGAGATCATGACCTGAGCCGAAGTTGGATGCTCAACTGACTGAGCCACCTAGGCTCCCCCAAAATCAGCTTATTTCTATTAAATAACCACCCTCCTCACATTGTTCATTAAAATATTATACACATTTTGTATAGCAAAATGGCCTTGGCCTGGTTCAAGGACACTGTTGACAATCTAAGTAGAGAAAAATATGACTCAGCTATAATAAAATCAAAGTGCAAACTAGGATAACCACAGAGTAAACCAATAAGAAATTATCATTAGAAATTCAGAAAACAAAATGGCAAGTCCCAAATACATTTTAAGTTTTACCCTTAACCCTCAAATACATGGGGGAAAAAAAAAAATACAGTGAATCACTAATTCCTGACACCATTGATATTACATACCCAAGAGATGGGTCCAGATGTTTCCTGTCTCTGTGTGTATTCTGAAAATGCTCTTAAAACAGGCCCGGAAAGAAGGCATCGGGGGCCGATGTCCATGTAAAAGGAAATCGTTATCCTTGAGCCAGTCTGGTAGTACATCATGAGGGATTACTCGCCATCGGCCTTCCCATACCTGGAAGAAGAGTATCAAATACGTATGTGGTTGTGTCAACATAGCAACACTGGTTGCCCTAAAGGAGTGGTTTCAAGCTTGGTTTCAGTCTGGCTAAAGGCAGGGTGAGAGGTCCACATATACAAACTCTCCTTCCTTCATTATCCACAACAAACTTTACCTCTGAAAATTCCCTGTGGTATCAAATATGACCGTTCTTATATTTAATATTTCTGTTGGTGGAAAAAAGAAGTACAGTTGACCCCTGAATGTGGGTTTGAAATGCATGGGTCAACTTATATGCAGATTTTTTACAGTACAGTCCTATAAATGAATTTTCTCTTCCTTATGATGTTCTTAGTAACATTTTCTTTCTCTAGCTTACTTTATTGTAAGAATACAGTATAGTTGAGTTTATGTTATTGGTAAGGCTTCCAGTCAACAGAACCCTATTAATAGTTAAGTTGGTATACAGAATTGATGTAAAGAACAAAGGCAAAAGAAAAAAGTAAATTTCCTTACAACTTACAGCCCACTGACAAGTACTTGGGACAGGTAGAGTGGCCTTCTTCCCGGAACTCACTGATCTCAATGTTAATACTTTGTGAGAGGCAAAAGGCAACCTTAACTTGACATTAGCCTGAACTCCAGGATCCTATAAGTCTTCTTTAACATATGAAGATCCCTTTGGAAAATTTCTTTATCTTTACCCACTCCGCAAGATACATATTAGCAATCACCCTCCAAGCATATGGCCCACTGATATACATCTGAAGGGTCTCATGACAAGTGGTTTTACTAGACAGTAGTAAATGATCTTTTCTTAATAGCAGCTAGTCCCTCAAGGTCCTGGAAATCTTGCTCCCAAATTCCTTAGAGACTTATGCTATCCCTAACCTCCTCCCAACTTAAAAGTATATAATCAGTCACTCATAACCCCAATGCAGCTCTTTCGGCCCACAGGTCCTATCCTGTGCTTTAATAAAACCACCTTTTTTGCACCAAAGATGTCTCAAGATTTCTTTCTTGAACATTTGCTCCTGGACCCCAACAACATATCAGAATCACTTTTGTGTCTTCTGCTAAAATCTCTCCCTCTCCCTTCTCTTCCTACCACAACAAACACGATGAAGAAAGAGCACAGCAGTCAAAATTTTGGATCTCGGCTATTAACTAGTTGAAGGAGCTTTAATCAGAAAATCACCAAGGGGTGCCTGGGTGGCTCAGTCAGTTAAGCGTCTGACTTCGGCCCAGGTCATGATCTCACAGTTCGTGAGTTCGAGCCCCGCTCTGTGCTGACAGCTTAGAACCTGGAGCCTGCTTTGGATTCTGTGTCTCCCTCTCTCTCTCTCTACCCCTCCCCAGCTCATGCTCGCACTCTGTCTCTGTCAAAAATAAACTTAAAAAAAAGAAAAAGAAAATCACCAAGCTTCAGTTTCCTCATTTATAAAATGAAGGTAACAATACTTTGATTACTTCCTAAGGATCAAATGAAATAACCCAAAGCAAGCCCCAGCATCCACCCCACAGGTGGTATGTAATCCTGACCATCCCCAGAGGGTATTTATTACCTACCTAAGAGTTAGTGACTAATCCACCCTCAATCATGCTGGAGAGATGGCAAAGAAACTCAACCTTCACTGCCCTTCAAGTCTCGTTGCCACCTCCCCTTCTCCCTTTTTCTTCACTGTCCCTCCCCCAAAGACTCTAACAGGAAAGGGTCAGGAATGTACTCTTCCTTAAAATAAGTTTGTCAACCTCTGCACTGTTTCTTTTAATGTCTCTCAGCCCAGAGAGCACACATCACAAGGATCACTTAATCCTGAACTAACTTATTTCTACTAACCAGAAGGATACAAGGAAAAATGCCAGGTACGTGGTCGACCTACAGGCTTCAGGTTCAGACAATGACCCCCACACTTATCCCCCAGGGTTCTTGTGACAAATAACACGGCTAGGCTATACAAACTTGGCGCGCGCTCTCTCTCTCTCTCTCTACTATGCAAAATGACTTTTGTTCCACATCTTCCTGTTCTCTGCTATCCTTAATCCTTCTTACTGAAACACATTTATAAAAGAACTGATCTTCCGTGTAACTCCAAAGGAAATGAGAACAATTTAAGAGTAGACGTGGCCCTCTTAACACTATTGAAACTCACTCACTCTCTAGCCTCCCCACTTCCTGTCTCACCTTCTAACTCAAACTGTGAGGCCTGCACTTACGGGTGCAAATCTGACCATTCCATGCTTGTTCATAACATACAGTAAAAAAAATAATAATGCCAAAAGACTAATCTAGATTTTTAATGTCTACTGGTATAAGGACTTTCTGGAGAGAAAGAGAACATTCCAAGATACTGAATTTCTTTTATCTAATTTTTACTTGAAAAAAGATAGTTACTGTTAATGTTAACTTTACAAGATGCTACTCTGTTTCACTTTGGGGGAATTTTATATTCTAACAGGGAGAGAAAAAGAGAAATCAATCTTCACAACTGCTCCGTAGTTCACAATATGCAAACAGCTCTGTGTGACCATATGAAAAGTGCTATTGTGTTATCCCACACAGTCAAAATGAACACTTTCTGCAGTCAGAAAGAATATGTTGTTTCTTACTAGTTGCATTTGCATATAATATCAATTTTTTTCTCCACTGTTTCTAAACAAACATTCTAACGGACTAAACTGAGCCAAGGTGATATACTTTCATAATTATACTGAAATTAGTGTCATATTCAACTGACACTGCAACCTCAATTCTCAACTTGGGAGTCCATCCAAATGCCAACCCAAACAGGCATCCTCTTTTACCTCTCCATCGTAAAAAGGATAGGATCACAGCTTAGGCAAATACATATTCATTTATAAGCAGAACAAAGGCACTGCATATAAGAAACATCTGAGCAATGGTCCACTGGATTCGTATTAGACCATTAACGCACAAAACATTTATTCTTAATTGAAGGCTGGGGAAAAAAGAGACCATGATCAAACTTGGACACTCAATAAAGATTTTATGATTTTATTTCCCCTATTCCTATAAGAAAAGCTTTTCCAAAAGGGATAGTAAGTATACGAGCAAGGCCACAGGACACTTCATTTTAACTACTGTTTACTTGCTTCCAATACAAGAAAAAAATTTTTTCTAGTGTCAAGTACACTCAGGTGCACTACGGCAGCAGGTGAAGCAAGCCTGGAGAATGTCATGTCACAGGAAGCCTCTTCAGACCACTCTCACAGACAAACTCTAGAGGGTGATAAGGGAATGGTAATAATTTTTGTGCTCCATTCAGTTTTCTTCAGTAAATCATAGTTTGGAGCAAACAAATGCCCTAGTTATTCTCCCATTAGCTGTTACACTGTAAGTTTTATTTGCTTTATTCTTTACTTAGTTCAGAAAAAGAGAATAAAAAAGAATAAAAGAGAATAGGACCCCACTGATCTATAAATATTAAAAATTCCTAATGGCCCAGACACTAAACATCCAACTTTGAGAGATTTACCATCAAATTTGCTTGTTGAAAAACAAAATGTATCTTCTATATACTTTTGTATTCATTCTCCTAAGACAGCAATCACTAGAAAGAATGCATTGTTTTGCTTGGCTTTTTGCTATGGTTTTGCTTGGTTTTTTCTTCACCAATTTTCAAACACTCATTAAAATTTCCTAGGCTCTAAGTAGACCCATAAATATTTATACCCCTCCCTCACCACTCTTCATCCATCCCTTTATCTTAGAAGGGGTGTCTATAATGTCCTCTTCTCATCCTCTTCTCCAAAGTATACTATTCTAGAGTCAACTGGCCCCAATTATTTCTACCACCACTGTGAAGATAAGCAAACCTAATTTAGTTTTCAGGATCCAAGACCACAGGCATAAAAAGTCTTGGTTTCATGAAACCCATGAAAAAGCTAAGAGTCACAAAAATTTCTCTCTAAATGATCAAGAGTTCTCCAGAAATATTTAACAAATGAATTTATTTACACATACAAACATAGATTGACTTATGACTTTAGATCTGTCAGAGCCCTATCTAATGATCAGATTATCAAGTAGCTGTAAATTTACCAGTGTCCCTATTTTCTCTAAGAAAGCACCCCCAATTCCAGTTACCGATTTAGAAGGAAAAAAATTCCCACAATAGGTCTTAAAGATATCAGATAATGTGTTAGAAGAAAAACTTTAGAGACTGAAAACATGCCAGCTAAATTGGAAATCCTGGATGTTCATGAAAACCAGGAAATTTCTATCTAAAGAGTAGTTTGATTAGCCAAATAATCTTTAGCAAAATTAGCACATTTGCTATCACAGTCAAATAACAAAAGAGATTCAAGGCACTCGGGACTTCAGTATCTCTAGGCATCATCTCCAACCCCCCCCCACCCCCCCCACACACACAACTTTCATCCTGTCTTATCTAAACTATCAACAAGACATCTATTCTGTTAACTTACATCAGGAAACACTTGTTAATAGATGGATATTCTAGTTTTATCACCACCTTATCATAGCTGCTGCAGGCAAACAAATGTATTTTGTCTTAAACAGGGTTAAAGTCATGATATTGTTTCTGTCTCCATTTTGCTACAGATTATCCCCAGAGTAAACCAAAGGCAGCTCTCCTTAAAGGTTTCTGTTTGGGAAGGGTTAAATATATAGCATAGGAATAACAAGAAACTGTCATCTTACCTTACAAACAAATTCTTCCATTCTTTCCATAGCATGATGTGCTTGTAAAAGAGGGGATATACCCATAAACCCCTCATCTTCCTGAGAAACTTCATCATTGCACTCATGTTCCTCAGAGATCTGTAAGGCAATCAAAGAAACAGTCAGGGACAGAGACCAGGGCCAAATGAAAGAATCAATACACTTTCTTTGAAAAATTATAAATGAAGTAATTCTCTCTTAAGGTCAAAGCAAAGCCTCAAACAAGTAACAATATAGGAAGTAAAGTCAGTTTATTATAGAATTAGGACTATTAAAAATGAACAACAGTTAATTCTTCTCTAACAGATAAATGAAAATACCAGAGCATTCCTATGTTTGTTTTAGTAGCGAATTCCTGGGGTAGCTTGAATGGTTCATTTTTTGTTTTAAGAATATATTCACAGTTCACATATTATTACTATAAAATTGATAAATTACTGAGGGGAAAATCTCCAGGAACCCCACCTGGTGTATATAAAATAAATAATTGTCATGCAATGTGCTAAGTGCTCTAGAGAGAAAAAAGGGGAAAAAAAAGAAAAAAGTTTTACTCAATTCTTAAGATATGCCAAGCATAAAAGAAAGGACTTTATAAAGGCCATCTAACTTAATCCTGACAGCCACTTTATCATTAGATAAGTTTTCTTATCCCCACTTAACATATAAAGAACATTAGGCGAAAAGGTTAAATAAGTTGCCTAAGGTTAAGACTAATAAAGTGAAAAAGTAAAAACCCCCCACCCACTGCCTTTCTACATTCTTGACAAAATGAAGAAAGAAATGATAATCTGGTTAGACCTTAAGAAATAAATCACTAAAATTAAGACTTCTGTTTCCAGATGAAGCTTCTACTAGACAGAAGGACACTGTGAGAAGGGCAACTGACCAGAAGTCAGAAGACCTAAGTCTGGTTTTGCCACTAATATCCATGAACTTTATATAGGTCTCTCAACCTTTCTGAGCCTCAAGTTCCTCATTTCTAATCTAAAAGAGGAGTTTAAAACTAAACAATCTCTACAGTTTTCCCTATTCTCTAAAATTCTGATATTCTGCAACTTAGTGAATAAATGAAAGCACAAGAGAACGGTAACTCCATATCTAATAAGTCTGCTAGATACATAGTACTGCTAACATACCTGCATGAAGAAATGAAATGACCTTCAACCTCCAGTCAGAAAACTGGTAAAGGATGAACATGTAGGCACAATAGGTAATCTACCACAACACTTGAATTTGGACATGTTTAAAATGAAATCCTAAGATTTTATTTTCCTACTCTTTACTCTTCAAGATAACTAGGGGCTTAGTATTAAGACGCATGTAAGACATGTTACATACCCAATCTCAACTGTTAAAAAATTATCTTCTCCAAGAAATCTATCTTGACTCTGCTTCTCTAAAATTCTTACTTATACAACACCCTCTCTTCATTACTTACCTAAAACTTATTGTCTGTCCTTCGGTGCCCAGTTTCTCATGATTGCCACTTTCCCCCAAGGCACTTTTAGTTTGCTTCTCCCATTCCCAGAAAATTTTATTAACCTAGATATACTGCATGTTTATGTGCTATGGCTCTTCGGAGGGCTACAAACCACTGTAATATTTAAGACTTTTTCAAATCCCCCTCAATCAAGAAGCAGTTTTCACCAGAGAATGTATATGCCCTAATCCATACCAACTGCCTCCCTTTCTGAACTTCTCTAACACTTGAAGGCTGCAGCTCTCATTTGACAACGAATATAATATCTGATTTACAGCTCGTCTCATTGACTTATACTGTTTTATTTCGTGTTTGACTGGATTTTACTTTTTTAGTGTATCATTTCCTAAACAAAACTTTAAGTGTCTTTGGGGTCTTTTTTCCCATGGCCCCGAGAACAGTTCTCTGTAATATGTTATATACTTCATGGTGGCCTCAATTAATTAATTAATGCTTTAAAATTTTTTCAACAAAAATTGTTAAAGGATTGTGCCTAATAAAACATAAGATTAAAATGATAAACTTCATTAAAACATCAAATACAGGGCACCCAGGTGCTCTGTCGGTTAAGCGTCTGACTTCAGCTCAGGTCATGATCTCTCGGCTTTTGAGTTCAAGCCCTGAGTGAGTCAGACTCTGTGCTGACAGCTCAGAGCCTGGAACCTGCTTCAGATTCTGTGTCTCCCTCTCTGTGCTCCTTTCTCGCTCCCACTCTCTCTCAAAAATAAATAATAAAAAAATGTTTTTAATCAATTATATGAAAACTGAAAATAGATAATAGTTTAAAATGATTGGCAGACTGATTTTAAAGTATAAAATATAAATTTATATATAAAATGTAAAACAGCTCAAATATTTATACATGTTCAACATGTATTTAATTCTTCACAAAGAGTAACAGAAACAAAGATTCAGTCTGGACTTTCTCACAAATAAATTATGCCAGCAGTTCTAATGAAACTACAGATGAGCACATAAAGTAGAACTATAGTTAAATGTTTCCTGTACTACCATAAGTAAAATCCTATTAAAAGTTGTAGACCTGTCTGACATATCAATGGGATTACTTACAACCAGTTAGTTTTGAGTATCAGGCTAATAATGCATTTGGATCCACAGAAGACTACTGATAGGAAAAGGTAAGCCAGCCTCCCTGGCAAACTAAAGTCATTTTACGCACTTAGTCTTAAATTATAGACTTAGATAAGAAAGAAATGAGGATAAGGTGACCTTTCTCCATAGGTACTCACCACTATACCCATATACAGAAAAGAGAGATGAATGGTTCAACTTCCCAATCATGGGGAGGGAAGAGGAATAATGACCCTGTTGCTGGGGAAGAAACAGGTTCACATCTTCAGCAAAGCTAATACATGTTTATTGAAAGAAAACAAGTACATTCAGAATGCAAGATGTATGGTCTAAGTCAAATACCAACTAGTGTACAAAAACACTGTTTATACATTTAGTCAAATATTTTTTTAGGAAAAGGTGGCTTGCCATAATGGATTAAGAGTGAGTCTGAAGTCAGATAAACAGTGACTACTGATAAATTCTATCATCTTTGACAAGATTATATTTAACTAAAGCATCAGTTCCCTTACCTGTGAGATGATTTTAACAATATTGTACCTACAATACAGAAGTTTTCAGGATCAAAGATAATAAATAAAAAGAAACTATCACAGGGCCCAGGACTCAGAAGGCAAGAAATAAATGATGGTCCTTACTATTATGATGATGGGCTAGGTACTGAAAACATTAAACTTCGTATCACAACCTAGTGGAGAAGCCATGCATGTAAGTAAATACAGCAAGGAACTAGTGAACAGTATGAACTGTATGAAAAAGGTCTGATACAAATAGAAAAATATTTAACTTTGGCACTGCTGGGAAGTTTTCTAGAAAAGTAACATCTGAACCAAGCCCTGGAAAACGTGTAAGAATCTGGAGCAGAGGAAAAGTAGGACAACCATAAAGGCTGTTCTCTTTATCTGACTTAATACCTTGAAAATTCAGAGACCTGGGAGCACG